AAAGGCACACATACAATGAGTTCGACCTTACTTGACCCCATAGATGGCGAATGGGCACCCAGGTGATGGTCTTCCTGCACAGTTACCAGCTCAGCAAAGAAGCCCTCGGCAGTAGTGCTTTTCTCGACCGCCCGACGTGGGAACTGTTCAAATTTATGGAACCTGTTACTCTTGGTGAGGAATCCTGTGTTCGGATCGGTGGGTAGGTGGGTGGATAGGTGGATCAACGTGTAGGTAGACTTGATGGATGGATGGATGAACGGGTGTATTGTATGTATAGTATGCATGTATGCATAGTGTATATTGTATTTATGTATATAATAAAGAGAATGTATAATACATCTGGATTTTCAAGCAAGTGTTAGCGATCTTTTTGTATCTTCCATGATAAGTAAACAAATGAATTATAAATAAATACCTGATGTCATGATGCATCGATTCAAGACATATATATATATATATATATATATATATATATATATATAATATATATAATCAAAACCCATCTTTCGTGTTATTAACAGGTGTAATTGGAAGCAACGGCAACATCTGGCACACCAACCGCCGCTTCAGCCTCCGCCAACTCCGGGATCAGGGGGGGATGGGCAAGTCCAGCTTGGTCTCCGCGATCCAAAAGCAAGCCCGCGAGTTGGTCGAGGCGCTGAAAGGCCAAGCGAGCAAGCCGGAGCGCATCCCCGGGATCTGCGGGTGGCTGTTATCAACATTATCTGGCATATGGTTGCGAGTGAGTGGCAGGGAGAGAGGGAGGGGGTTGGCGCGCACACACACACACACACACACACACACACACACACACACACACACACACACACACACACACACACACACACACACACACACACACACACACACACCACACACTCACTCACTCACTCACTCACTTGCACACTCACCCCCATCATACACACTCGTATATACATGTACTATATCTATGTAGAATCAGAGGTGGGGCTACAATGGTGGAAATACCCCCTGCAATCTAATTGGCACCCTGTGTGCCCCTCCAATGGTCATTGACTCGTCGTAATGGCTCCTATATATATATATATATATATATATATATATATATATATATATATATATATATATATATATATATATATACACATATTGTGGTGGCACTCCCCCAGATGTTTTGTTGTTATCCCTGTGGTCCCCACCAGAAAATTCTCTGGACAGGCCCCTGTATAAGATACATGTAAATGCATTGGTATAAATAGTATGTACATGCATGTGTATATACATAGGGTTTATCCGTTTGTATGTGTATATATGCATACCTATGTATTCACCAGTAATGGCCAGGATCGAGCAAACTTTCTCACATCTTTGTCAAAATTTAATCTTTGGTATAGTATGTTTTTATTTCAAGTTACTATTAGTTTAAAGTTTTGTCGCTATGGAACAGAATCGAATTTTGGTTAAGAATTGACTAACCTAAACTCTCCATTAACCGAAATTCGTTCTTCTGTTGTCGGTAACTCTCATTATTCTTTATCTCTCTCTCCATTAATTGTATTTGCTCTTTTTTTATGTGTTTGCCATACTCATTGCATTCCCATGCTGTGTTATTTATGTATTCCTCTGTTCAGTCTTTTCTTGTTTTTTTTTTTCGTTTGTTCCTGTGATAAAGTTGAGGCGTAGAGGTAGTGAATGAAAAGGCTCTTTGCTGGTTTAGTTAGATGTGATACCCCACAACAGACCCTTGCCTTGGGTGCCGAGGGATGCGGTGACGAGCGAGACCGTCGCCTGCCGTGTCTCCATCTGCTCTGTTTTGCGTCTCATGTTCTGCTCGTCAGGCAGCCTGGGCTGCCTGACGAGATGTTCTATTATGCAGTTATTCCTTGTGAGGATGTTTTCCTTCTTTAGGAGAATGTGTCAACAGGGAAAGTAGAGTGAACACCAACGTCCGCTGATGGAGGAAAACAGCTACTGGGACCTAGGTGCAAAAGGGGGGCCCATCCACCCTTGGGCATATAGTTCACAGTTCCTTCTCTCTCTCTTTCTTGGTTCAGATGATCAGATTAAGTTCATTTGAGAAAAAGAAGTGATACAAGAGACTAGATTTTGACAAAATATAAATGGGGACTTTACCATCACCATCACCAAATACTAATGCATGGATGTAATTTGCATATGACTATCTAAGTGGATCTTATTGGCAGGTAAACAGTTTGAAAAAACGGATCCCAAGCTGCAAGAATTCATCGACATTATTGACGATCTGACGCAAAAGTTTGGACCAATAGCAATCCCCGATTTTATGCCTTGGATTAAGTATTGTCTTCCTGATTTCCTCATACGCCGCCTCTTCTCCATCGACATGCTTTACACTCTGAAGGATAAATTCTTCGATTACTGTAAGGTGTGTGCCTGCCAGATAGTTACTATACATTTGTTGAAATATTCCCTATCGTTCCTTTATTACGGATGAATCCGGCACTAAGGAAGAAACAAATAGATTATTAATACCTCAAAACATTTCATTCACAGGAACTGATCGAGGAACACAAAGCTTCCCTGGATCCTGATGATCCTAAGGACCTAATTGATGGCTACCTTCTTGATATCGAGGCATCGAAAGACGACCCAGACACGATTCGAACAGGTAAGGCATTTTAATTTTGGGCATATGACGGATCGCACACTCCGTAGGCAGATAAAGAAACAGATTGATAAGAAATATGAGAATTATAATGTAAAAAAATATATATAATGGTTTTGTTTGATATATAGATGTGCAACATCTCATCCATATCATATATATATATATATATATATATATATATATATATATATATATTATATAATGTATGGTAGAGGTCTTTTGACTTGCCTGATATATATACATGAAATAGTATACGTCAGCATGTCCTGCTTGGAACTTGAATTGTCCCTCACTTCAGAAAGGATCTGTGCATCCTCATCCTGGACCTGTTCTTCGCCGGCAGTGAAACCACGGTCGGGACCCTCGCCTTCATGTTCTTCTACCTAGCCAACCACCCGGAAGTTCAGAGGAAGTTCCAGGCGGAGATCGACGAGGTTCTGCCGAAAGGAACGCTGGCTACACTCGAGGACCGAAGCAGGTACTTGGAAACTCCCTAAATATATTGGGGTTTCAAGTGACTCGTTGTGGGTGTTAAAGGGGATTATAACCTGAGCCTCTTACTGTCTGCAGAATGCCGTTCACTGAGGCCGTTATTCATGAGGTTCTTCGGGCATCTTCTTTGGCATCGCTTGGCGTTCAACATGTTGCAGTGAGGGACACTATGCTGGGTGGATACTTACTCCCAAAGGTATGTTGGTTTATACCGTTCTATGCGTATATACATCCTCCACATTTGTTTACATGTACAGTGTGCATATAAATGTGTGTATGTGTTTATATATGTGTGTGGGGGGGATGTGAACTATGTATAGACGTACACCAGCTAGATACAAACACGTATTTTTATACACCTCACTCCCACGCCCACGCAGGCACCACATTTCACTAAGTGCCAACAATTACCACCCACACAGGGGACGATCGTGTCGACAGCCGCAGGCGCCATGCACCACGACCCCCGCTACTGGAACAACCCAGAGAAGTTCATGCCGGAGCGCTGGCTGGACGACCAAGGGAAGTTTACGACCAAGAAAGAGGGGTTCCTGCCCTTTGGCATTGGTAATTATTGTTTATTATTATTATTATTATTTTCAATATTGTTATCATCATCATCATTGTGATTATCATCATTATGATTATTATTATTATCATTATTATTATATGTTTTCTGATGAGTTTATTGACATGGTTAGTTTAACAATGGTGGTTTTCAAAGTGCAAGTGAAGTCACATGTCATTCTGTGCAAGATTATTACTATTACTATTATCTTTTTACCCAGTATCTTATTTACTTACATTCTATAACCTTTCTGTTTGTCATTCCACTCACCATCACACCTCCCCTTCCCCCTTCGCAAAGACTATATATGGAAAATAAGAAAGCACGTAACACACCGTTAAGAAATGTGAGGCCCAAAACTTCCTACAGCGCCATCTATTTTTCAGATATTTAACTAAGAAAGGAAAACATTTATAGGGGAGACTATAAATTAATAAAGATTTGTAAATATTTGTTTTAGTTTTAAAGGTTTAGTTTCATTTGAAGATTTGCAATGTATCTTTTTTAATAAGAAACTTGAAATTTATAAAAGAATTACTATGCACATATGAATTTACATGGAATTATATGATTATTCAGTTCTTTATTTTTTCTTATTAGATATTTTTCTTAATAGAGAGGATAAGCCAAACATATCTATGTAAAACATTTCTTTATTTGATTTTATCATCAATGAAAGTATTAATGAAAGCAAGCCGACAATTAAAACAACAGGTAGCATAAAACTGAAGAACAAACAAACAAATGAAATCATTTTCCTATCTTTTTGAAAAAGTGACGTTTCACGATAGTAAACAAACAGACGAAACATCGCGTACACAGCGCCATCTATTGTTCAGGTATCACACTATCCGCCAACCGTTGGGGCTCACAGACTTTTGCCATACTTTCCTATCTTTCGTATATATTCTTTGCCCCATTCGTATAATCTCCGTACCTGCCATTCCACTGACCGTCACCCCACCCCTTCCTCCATTCGCATAACCTCCCTACCTGCCGTTCCACTGACCGTCACCCCACCCCTTCCCCCATTCGCATAACCTCCCTACCTGCCGTTCCACTGACCCCACCCCCTCCCGCCATTCCCAGGGAAAAGGGTGTGCGTCGGCGAGTCCCTGGCGCGCATGGAACTCTTCATCATCTCCACCGCCATCTTCCAGTCCCTGAGTGTGAGTCCGCCGCCGGGGTCAAAGGTCGACGTCTCACCCGACCCTGGCAATCCTTTTGGTCACAACCCGAGGCAGGAGAAGGTCTGCTTCACCATCCGCGAGTGAGTGAGGGAGGGAGAGAGGGTATGAGGGATGGGTAGGGAGGGAGAGTAGCGGGAAAGAGGGAGGGTGAATGCATGGTAGGGGGAGGGAGAGAGAGTAGAGTAGAGAAACAAAGAGAGAGTGAAAGTAGTGAGAGAGAAGAAGAGAGGAAGAGGATAGACAGAGAGAGAAGAGAGTAAATAGAGAGAATGAGGGAATATTAATAAACATGCTGGTATCAACCTCATCACATACACAAAAATATACACATTTAGTGGCAAGTTTTGGTTTCCTGTTTATCGTGTACACAAATACGCAATATCATACATATAATAAAATAAAATAAATGAAAGTTGTATCTTTTCTTTCCTCAAAACTATACAGACCATATAAGGTAAACAGTAAAAGACATTTCTGAAAATAATGACCCAAGTTACATGCAGAAGAGGGAAGTGTTATACTGAACAGAAAGTCATACTGTGTGTCTTACTTTTCATAATATTGATTTTCGCGGGTTATGATTACAGTATAAAGGCATTAATAAAAACATATTTTATTTCCATACTTCAATGAAATAATTTTGGTGAATAATACTGATAGCAGATAGAAAGTACTTTTTGATATATTTCATTCATTTATTTATTCCTTCATATTTTTCCTTTATTTTCGTCTCTCTTCGTTATCACCGTATTCATAACTCTTCAACGAACAGTCTCACATTCACAAATAGAATCCTCATCATATGCATTCCACACAGTTTACACAGACCATGAGCGGGTCAACTTTCTTGGTCACGATGACTTTGCACTTTCTAGGCTTACGAAAACTAGAGGGCTTAAACACTTGATATATTTCATTAATTCATTCATCCCCCCATTTTTTGTCTTTATTTTCGTCTTTGTTCCCTGCGTGGGTGGAACTGCACATGCGCATAGATACAAGTGCGTTGTAAACAGTGCACAAACTGTGGCCGTTTTTATATGTAGCTATAAACTTTATTGTGGTTATGTGTTTCTATAATTGATGCAGGGGTTATATGCATCTATGACTGGTTCAGTGGGTAACGTTTTTGTAACATGTATCTTTGAATACGACTTGAATATTTAGTAAGCAGTGGCAACAGCATTTATGGTTTTGTAGAGTATAGGAGTACATTGGAATATTGTACTCGTTTCATGACACGCAGAGAGAGAGAGAGAGAGAGAGAGAGAGAGAGAGAGAGAGAGAGAGAGAGAGAGAAGAGAGAGAGAGAGAGAGAGAGAGAGAGAGAGAGAGAGAGGAGAGAGAGAGAGAGCGAGAGAGAGAGAGAAGAGAGAGAGAGAGAGAGAAGAGGGAGGGAGGGAGGGAGGGAGGGGAAGAGATAGAGGAGCAAGCAGAGAGAGGAGAGGAGAGAGAGAATAGAGAAGAGCGTAGAAATGAGAGTTCCACATGTCTGCCTGAACCTCCTCGACACGACTCGATACCTCGTGACGTCATGACCATACACATCTGCCTGGACGAGGAGCTTTTGTCATTTCACTTATTTATCCATTTATCTAAATATAACTTATCTGCAAGAATGTCAGAAATGCTGATTTTCCACAGACAGCAGCAGCACACACACACCAGACACACACAACACACACATATACTAACACCACACCACACACACCACACACACACACACACACACATATACATAAACACACACACACAGCACATATATAGACATAAAACACACACACAAACACACACACAAGTTGTGCATGCTAATGCCATAAGCTTATACGAACACGAGGTTAAATGACGCCCGGCAGCAGGGTGGCGCGGATGCCAGCCGTACGAGTAATTTATAACACTATTTTTGTGTTGCTTTGGTGCTCTTCGTTTATGTTATTTATTATATCAATAATCATAATTTCCATTATGATTGCTATCATCACCATTACTATTACGCTTATTATCGTGACCATTATTATTATTGTAGTTAACACTATTATTGCTGTCATAATTCAGATCATTATTGTTGTTAATAGTAATATTATCATCACTATGATTGCTATTATCAATAGTATCATTATCTTTATTATCATAATTATTGTTATTACTATTATTATTATCACTATTATTGACATAATCACTAATATGATTATGAAGGCGTTTTAAACAGAGAAAGTTCTTGTCTGATATCTAAAGAATTTTTCATGCTAACTAGCCGGACTATTTTTAGAATAGCACATGTGGCCGCCAGAGTTCGCCCTTGACTGCTTATGGGTATGGATGACTGATACATGCGTAGCACTCGCTAAGGTTCATTCAGTAGCGGTCAAACCTGTAATTCGATACATTTACAAGTTGCGTGCAATGATACATTTCCTTACATTATCAACAAGTGACATTCCTTCGTACTTATCTACTAAACTAGCTTATACATATCCATAGCAGTAACAACAATAGCTTTACATTAGGTTGCGGATAAGACTCCCCTACAAGAAGTGGCAGATACGTACGCATTGCGGGGACAGTCAGATTATCAGAGTAATGGCCTGGTCTACAGAGTGTCGTGGGCGTCTCGACGGCGTAAAGGTTCTCCTCGAACTGCCCGCCCTTTGGATATACGTGTCCATAGCCACAAGACACCTTCTACTTCACGTGTAAATAATAGTTAGGCCGTGAACCCGCTTTCATCAGGCATATTACTCATGTCAAAAAACTCTTACCGATGGGTCAACCCTTCGTGGTGGATGTGGCCATATTGTTGACCCAGTGACACCCGGCGAGGTCTTTCTCACCGTCGTGGCTGAGGCCTCCCTCGCCGCGGTGAGGATGGATATTTGTCATGTGGGTCCCGATCCCGTAGCACATAGGTCATGTCAAGAGTTCCTGCCCGCCTCCCTATATACAGAGGTTCTCTCACAGGTGACCCGGTGACCCCCCGTCGAGGTCCCCGCCACCATCTTGACCGAGGCCCCCCTCACTGCCGCCACGCGGGAGATAAATGTCTCTTATGTGAATTCTTTGATCGACTACACTAGCCGTTAATACATGAACTATATTTTTCTAGCGCCTACAGCACATGTTCATGTTTACATTTTGTACAATATTCAACAGTGTTAAAGTTCCAATGGCTTTTCAGGCGTTTTTGACTTCATAAAGTCCTGTTTTCCTGGTGCCCTACACATTAAATACAATACCATTCATTCATTCATTGAGTGCATGGAGGTATTAATAAAAGTAGGTATACTTAATTCCTTCAAGCTGAGTAAAAAAATACAGGCCATGGCTTGACTTCCCACTGCGAGCCAATCCACTTGAGAATCATTCATGCATAAAAAATCGCCCACTCTGCTCATCCGCAGGGCTATTTTGATGATTGTTCAATGAAAATATAACCAATAAAATAATTAATTTCCTTTTTTTTATAAAAAAAAAGATCGACCATATTCGCCGCTCGTCCAGTAGTGCACGAATTTCGTGGTGGTAGCGACTTCATAATTCATTATATGTGATTCGAGTGAAAGATTATCATCATCATTTTCGCAATAAAATTGTCCATTCACTTTGCGGCATAATTTTTGCCAGCAAATCGGGCTATCCGAAAAGTTCGTAGGAGCCGCCATCATCAAAATAAACCCTATGTGCTTTTTTCCCCCAAAAAACAGAATCGCAACTTTTGCGACGTCATCAAAATCTAACGTCATGACCTACTCGATTTGCTACTGATCTAGCCTTTCACAGTAATAAACCCTATGTGCTTTTACCCAAAACAGAATCGCAACTTTTGTGACGTCATCAAAATCTGACGTCGTGACCTCCTCGATTTGCTACTGATCTATCCTTCCCCCCAAGCGTTCTAAGGTGTGTCGCTCTTGGTAACAATTACCGGAATGATACTTGTATAGTTAGCTAAATACTGAATGTAAATATGAACGTTAATTTCGTGCGAATTTTTGTTTTAGTTCTCCCTAAAATTTTGCGTGCTCTTTGAAATAATGAAAGTTAATGTTCGGGCGCGTATTTTTTGTTTTAGTTCTCCCTAAAATTTCGCGTGCTCTTTGAAATACTATAGTGAGTAACAAAAAATGAGATATTATAGGATAGACTTAAATGAATGTTAAAACTATTGCTGTCGATGGTTTCTACGTATGAATATATGTAATCGATTCATGTGACTACATTTTATTAATTAGGAGAGGTCCGTGAAAGTGATGAAATCTTAACTGATAGAGAAATACACCTATCTTTTACAGCTTTTACAGGCCAATAAATTATGCGTATATCTATATCTATCTATCTATCTATCTATATACACTCTCATCTCTCTCTCTCTCTCTCTCTCTCTCTCTCTATATATATATATATATATATATATATATATATATATATATATATATATATATATATATATATATATATGCTGATATCTACACGTTACTTTGCACTAATTCCTATAATCTTCAAGCAAAGATATAACTTTTGTAACACTTTTCCTGTTGCCAGGCTTGCCAAGTACAAAGTTAGTTTACAGATGCCGGAAAATATATCGACATTTATATAGGCTAGTTCATATTCATGGAACTTTCTCCCGTCATGCTCTAGTACAGTAGTTCCAAACCTTTTTCCTTCTGCGGTCCCCGACCAATGTGAACTAATCAGTGTCTTTCCTCTTTTCAGGTTCAGTTTAGTCTAGTTATGAATAGCGAATAGTGTCAGTTGCGATAGAACAAGAACGTTTTATAGAGATTCCAGTTTATTGATGTGTGAGAGATAATTATACGCAGGTATTGTGTGCTAAATTCATATTATTTCGACGTATTCAGGCAGGATAGAGCATTACAGCGGGAGCGGCTTGCCAAGTCTGTCAGAGGTGAATACGTGGAGGATTCTCTACACATGGCCGTTGCAATACGTTGGAGAATTCTTGGTTTTACCTGGGCACACACACACACACAACATTTATACACACACACACACACACACACACCACACACACACACACACACACACACACACACACACACACACACACACACACACACACACACACACACACACACACACACACACACACACACACACACA